ACTGGGGTATAAATGCCCCAAAAAATAATAGGGGTATAAAAACGTGAATACTGCCGTTTACGGCAGTATTCAAGTTTGCGGGTTGCTCTGCAAATTGTGTAGCGCCGCATCCTCAGCCGTAGCATTTTCATTCGTTGAGGGAACAGCCTCAAGTCGTAGCCGTTCGAGTTCGGTGACATCAAATATATTTGAGCGCAAGATATACCGAACTGGGTCTGCTAGGTTTTGCTCGGTGACGGGTATGGATGGCTACAGCTCAGCAAAAAGTCGATGCATCCTAACCCGATAGACAAAACCTCCAATTTATTTCCCCTTCGCCCTAAAATGCGCCTGCAATGCGTTGCTATTCATCTGCATTTTCTCAACGCACGCGGCAAACTCCACCAGTGGCGGGTGCTGAATGCTGAGCCCCAGAAGAACCTGCCGACACCAAGTCAGCTGGTGGGAATAATGGATACGAGAGGCTGCTGGGTGGTCGTATCGTGTCCAGCGCCAGCTCCAGACGCGCCCTGGTGACCTCCAGGCAGCGGACTTTTGCACGTCCTTCTATTTTCCATCATGCATTATAATGAGCGTCATTTCATGGCCGCCATTTCATGGTGAGGCCATGAGCACAAGCGGGCCTTTACACCTTCAATTTTTGTCGAGGCACGGCACTCACACCTCACTGGCAAGGTGCTGACTAACTGCGCTGACGTATCATTTTTATCACATAATTGTTACGTCAGTGGGCAGTGGGGTCGTCACTTCTATACCCCATATAATTATTATTATTACTAAACTTTTAACTTTTATGAATTTTAGTTAAACATTATTAATGAGTCGTGTTTCTTAGGGAATAAGCGCTCGCAAGAATTTAAAGTACACGAGCAACTATGTTTGATTACCACCAGTACCAATGACATTTTTGAATGCTAATTTAAGTGTTGTTACTACGTGCTCGTCGGTGAAGGAGAATAGAATAAAATAATTTTTATTCATACCTGAAAGTCATTTTTTTTTGGAAAAATTTGGTTTGGAAAAAACCTCTGTCCTGTGAAGAACTAGCAAAATACCCAACGGGATTGTGTATCAAAATTAGTTTTTAATATAATATATTGTAGATTTATATATAAAATAGAAACATTCTGGTAGCGACCATCGCATTCTTTTTTTTTTATTTAACATAAAAAAATTACACAATTAGTTATTTTTACAGTCTGCCAAACTGCTCATTAGTTTGTTGGCAGAAAAATGCTCTCTAACTTTCTAACATGCAAAAAAAAAGAAGAAAAAAAAAGAACTAGCTTAATACAATTATACTACCACTATTATGACAAACCAATAGTATTACTATAACGTTATTCAATAATTTAAAGGATAACAGCATTTTTCATATATGCATAAATTTTGCATGTACGCTTACACATATACATACATACATGCGTACAAATATATGCATACCTAAATATTACAGCTTACCTATGGTGTTGTACAATGGATATCGTCATGATAGATTCCATTTTTACTTTTTATTAGTATAAAGTTTTTTTTAACTTATTTTTAAAATGTTTTTAAAATGAAATTTTTAAAATGAAATAATGAAAGCAATGAAAAGCATGAAAGCAGGTAAGGCAGCTGGATATGATAGAGTATCACTCGAGATGCTAAGGGCTGGAGAGGGAGTGGTGGCAGGCCTGCTGTACACCTTGTTTAATTTATGTTGGGAATTAAAACTGGTACCGGATGACTGGTGTAAAGCAGTTATAGTACCAATATATAAAGGAAAAGGGTCACAGCAGGACTGCAAAAACTACCGCGGTATCAGCTTGCTTAGTATTGTGGGTAAACTGTATGCTAAGGTGTTAATTGAAAGAGTTATGAAAGAAACTGATGGAAAAATTTGGGATGTGCAAGCGGGTTTTAGAAAGGGAATGGGGTGTACAGATCAAGTCTTTTCCATGCGCATGATTGCGGAGAAGTTTTTGGCCAAAAACCAGAAAGTTTTTTGTGCGTTCATGGACTTGGAAAAGGCTTATGACAGAGTGGACAGGAATGTGTTATGGCAAACACTGAACTCATATGGGTTGAGCGCTGGTTTGATACAGGCATTAAGGTCTCTTTATAGGGACTCTAGTGCTTGTGTCAGGATCAATGGGGTCTACTCGGACTGGTTTGGCATCCAAAAAGGTGTCAGACAGGGCTGTGTGGCTTCCCCTTGGCTGTTCAACCTATTTATGGACCGGTGTTTGCAAACTTTGAAAGATGAAGAATGTGGGTTAAGAATGATCAAGTCATACTTGCGTCATCGGCGGCAGAGTTGCAAATGATGCTTACATTAATGAACTGGGAATTAAAAGAAAGGGGAATGAAAGTGAACGCAAGTAAGACGAAAGTGATGGTTTTTGAAAGAGAAGAAAGCAAAACGGTATGTGAAATAAGAATAGAAGGAGAGTTGATTGAGCAAATGGATGAGTTTGTGTATTTGGGATGTGTATTTAGCAGGGATGGTAGATATGATAGGGATATAGAACGACGAGTAAATGCAGGGAATAGAGTGAATGGGGCACTACACTCTATTACGAAGAACCAGAATTTATCAAAACAGGCACGTATGGTAATTCATAATGCTGTGTTAGTCCCTACTTTAATGTATGGTAGTGAAAGCTGGGTGTGGCAGAAGAAGCACGAAAGTAAAATAAATGCTGTAGAAATGCGGTCTTTAAGGAATATGCTAGGGTGTAATTTGAATGACAGGGTGAGAAATTGCGTGATAAGAGATAAATGTGGTATGCAAGATGATGTTGTGACCAGGATTAAGAAAGGAATGCTTCGGTGGTTTGGTCACGTAGAAAGAATGAATGAAGAAAGAGTGACAAAGCAAATTTATATGGCAGATGTGAATGGCCGAGTCGGGAAGGGACGCCCTAGGAAAAAGTTTATCGACCAAATTGGCGATATTTTGAAAATGGGCCACGTTAGAAGTACCCTTAACCGACGAGCATGTATGCGTAGATATATGGATGTAAAGGAGGCGAAAGAGGTATGTCAGGATCGTGCCAAATGGAAGTCCGTAGTCTCTGCCTACCCCTCTGGGTAACAGGCGTGAGTGTTTATGTTTATATGTTTTAAAATGTTGTTTTGATTTATGCGTAAGGCATTCTTGTGGTAAATTATTATAAATTTTTGCTACTAAATGTTGGAACGTTCTTTTACCATAATAATTAGCACATTTATATTGTAAAGTTATTACTTTATGTGGTCTGCGCGTATTCTTATAAAACTACGCAATGCGTCACATAAGATTGTATAATACTTTTCACATGTCGCAAATGCTAATTTAAATTGCTCATGTATCGGTATTAAATTACACTCCTGGAAGAGCTGCTCATAATTATCCCTATATTTTATTTTAGCTTTTGGGTTCACTAATATTTTCATAAATCTAATTTGAAACTGCTTCAATTTATCTAAATATGTTTTAAATGTCCTTCCATATGCTACTAATCCATATTGTAACGTTGACTCAACTAGTGCGTAATATACAACATACAGTACATTTTTAGGTGTTACTTTTTTCAATAAATAGAATTTACTTAAAATACCTCTTAATTTATTACATACCAGTCCTATATGGCTAATCCAGTTCATATTTCTATCTATTGTTAAGCCCAAGTAGGTATTTAAACTTTTTTACAAATTCTATAACTGTACATTCACATTTAAATATATTGTCGTGTATACATTGATAAGAGTGACCCACTATCCTGAAATTTTTTTGCATTCTTTATATTATGCGGTGATGACATATGTAGTCCTTTAGTTTTTGCTGTATTAATAATAATTCCATCATCGTGAGACCACTTATTTATGTTGTTAAAATCACTTTGTTAGTTTTTCTCTATCTCATCTAGATTTTTGTCAGCATAGAGGATGCACATGTCATCTGCATACATAAAAACAGCACAGTGTTCAATTACTTTACATATACTGTTAACATGCATTATATAGCCCAGTGGTCCATAAACGGATCCAGTAGGTACACCTGACTTTAAATTTTCCTCGTTTCCCGTAATGTTTTTAATGACTGTCACTATTTTCCTATTTTTCAAATAATTACTTAGCCACCTATTAATAGGACCGCGTATACCACATTCATCCATTGCTTTCAACAAGACATTATGTTCTAAAGTGTCAAAAGCTTTTTTAAAATCAATAAATATTCCTACAACATGTTTTCTTTCATTTAATCTTTCATTTATATAGTCTGTAAAACTAGTCATAGCTGTAGCTGTACTCCTATTTCTTCTAAATCCATGCTGATGGTCGCTTAATATAGAATTATCCTCTAAGAAATCAGTTATTTGCTTAACAATTACTTTTTCAACTAACTTATTTATGACAGAAAGTATGGCAATCGGTCTGTAATTTTCATAACTTTTATGGCATCCTTGCTTATAAATGGGTCAATTTTTTGCCATTTTAAGCCTATCTGGATATGTACCTTTTTCTACACATAAATTAATAAAATTAGCAATTGGGTTCGTTTTGTTTTTTCGGTTTCTTTTGAACATTTTGATAGATAGGCTTTGTATATTTTTTGGGATTTTGTTGTAAAAGCGTAAAGATTGCCCTGTGACCATATTACTCTATGGAGTATATTAGCATTGCTTAGTCCTGGTATTACTCTATGGAGTATATTAGCATTGCTCTTGGTCCTACTATAACTCTATGGAGTATATTAGCATTGCTTGGTCCTGGTATTACTCTATGGAGTATATTAGCATTGCCTGGTCCTGGTATTACTCTATGGAGTATATTAGCATTGCTTGGTCCTGGTATTACTCTATGGAGTATATTAGCATTGCTTGGTCCTGGTATTACTCTATGGAGTATATTAGCATTGCTTGGTCCTGCTATTACTCTATGGAGTATATTAGCATTGCTTGGTCCTGGTATTACTCTATGGAGTATATTAGCATTGCTTTGGTCCTGGTATTACTCTATGGAATATATTAGCATTGCTTGGTCCTGCTATTACTCTATGGAGTATATTAGCATTGCTTGGTCCTGGTATTACTCTATGGAGTATATTAGCATTGCTTGGTCCTACTATAACTCTATGGAGTATATTAGCATTGCTTGGTCCTGCTATTACTCTATGGAGTATATTAGCATTGCTTGGTCCTGATATTACTCTATGGAATATATTAGCATTGCTTGGTCCTGGTATTACTCTATGGAGTATATTAGCATTGCTTGGTCCTGGTATTACTCTATGGAGTATATTAGCATTGCTTGGTCCTGCTATTACTCTATGGAGTATATTAGCATTGCTTGGTCCTGGTATTACTCTATGGAGTATATTAGCATTGCTTGGTCCTGGTATTACTCTATGGAGTATATTAGCATTGCTTGGTCCTGGTATTACTCTATGGAATATATTAGCATTGCTTGGTCATGGTATTACTCTATGGAGTATATTAGCATTGCTTGGTCCTGGTATTACTCTATGGAGTATATTAGCATTGCTTGGTCCTGGTATTACTCTATGGAGTATATTAGCATTGCTTGGTCCTGGTATTACTCTATGGAATATATTAGCATTGCTTGGTCCTGCTATTATTCTTTGGAGTATATTAGCATTGCTTGGTCCTGGTATTACTCTATGGAGTATATTAGCATTGCTTGGTCCTACTATAACTCTATGGAGTATATTAGCATTGCTTGGTCCTGCTATTACTCTATGGAGTATATTAGCATTGCTTGGTCCTGATATTACTCTATGGAGTATATTAGCATTGCTTGGTCCTGGTATTACTCTATGGAGTATATTAGCATTGCTTGGTCCTGGTATTACTCTATGGAGTATATTAGCATTGCTTGGTCCTGCTATTACTCTATGGAGTATATTAGCATTGCTTGGTCCTGGTATTACTCTATGGAGTATATTAGCATTGCTTGGTCCTGGTATTACTCTATGGAGTATATTAGCATTGCTTGGTCCTGGTATTACTCTATGGAATATATTAGCATTGCTTGGTCCTGGTATTACTCTATGGAGTATATTAGCATTGCTTGGTCCTGGTATTACTCTATGGAATATATTAGCATTGCTTGGTCCTGGTATTACTCTATGGAGTATATTAGCATTGCTTGGTCCTGGTATTACTCTATGGAGTATATTAGCATTGCTTGGTCCTGCTATTACTCTATGGTGTATATTAGCATTGCTTGGTCCTGGTATTACTCTATGGAGTATATTAGCATTGCTTGGTCCTCCTATTACTCTATGGAGTATATTAGCATTGCTTGGTCCTGGTATTACTCTATGGAGTATATTAGCATTGCTTGGTCCTGGTATTACTCTATGGAATATATTAGCATTGCTTGGTTCTGCTATTACTCTATGGAATATATTAGCATTGCTTGGTTCTGCTATTACTCTATGGAGTATATTAGCATTGCTTGGTCCTGGTATTACTCTATGGAGTATATTAGCATTGCTTGGGCCTGGTATTACTCTATGGAATATATTAGCATTGCTTGGTCCTGGTATTACTCTATGGAGTATATTAGCATTGCTTGGTCCTGCTATTACTCTATGGAGTATATTAGCATTGCTTGGTCCTGGTATTACTCTATGGAATATATTAGCATTGCTTGGTCCTGGTATTACTCTATGGAATATATTAGCATTGCTTGGTCCTGGTATTACTCTATGGAATATATTAGCATTGCTTGGTCCTGGTATTACTCTATGGAATATATTAGCATTGCTTGGTCCTGGTATTACTCTATGGAATATATTAGCATTGCTTGGTCCTGGTATTACTCTATGGAGTATATTAGCATTGCTTGGTCCTGCTATTACTCTATGGAGTATATTAGCATTGCTTGGTCCTGGTATTACTCTATGGAGTATATTAGCATTGCTTGGTCCTGCTATTACTTTATGGAGTATATTAGCATTGCTTGGTCCTGGTATTACTCTATGGAGTATATTAGCATTGCTTGGTCATGGTATTACTCTATGGAGTATATTAGCATTGCTTGGTCCTGGTATTACTCTATGGAGTATATTAGCATTGCTTGGTCCTGGTATTACTCTATGGAGTATATTAGCATTGCTTGGTCCTGCTATTACTCTATGGAGTATATTAGCATTGCTTGGTCCTGGTATTACTCTATAGAGTATATTAGCATTGCTTGGTCATGGTATTACTCTATGGAGTATATTAGCATTGCTTGGTCCTGCTATTACTCTATGGAGTATATTAGCATTGCTTGGTCCTGGTATTACTCTATGGAGTATATTAGCATTGCTTGGTCCTGGTATTTGAAGAATGCACATCACTGTTTTTAATAAAAATATTATTGTTTTTGCGTACATACATTAAATTTTCGTACTGAGAGGCGAAAGTCAATATACCTATTTGTTTCTTTATTTTTTTCTAAGAGAAGCTCGCGAGAATATCCCAGAAGAAAAAGAAGCCTGTAAGTTTGACCAGTAAAAAAATATTTAAAGGAATTGCAAAATCGCAAACAAGATTTGAAGTAATGTGGTGGACTCTTTCTTGTCCCTAAACACTTTTAGCAACGAGTGAAAGCCAGTGTTCAGCCGATTTGTGCTCAGATTTTAATGAGAATATTAAAAAGTTTGTTATTTATTAATCTAGAAACTTTTGAAAAAGTGCTTCGTTGCATTCGTGCATATAAGCTTAAAATATCAAAAAAACCATGATGCAACTATATTATGGTTTTAGCAAGAATGCGTCTGCTCGACCGGGGAATCCATGCTCTCACAGAATACCAGCGTAAAATAGCACCTCAATACAGCTGTGTTTCGTATAGTCTGAAGAGTGAAGAGAACGGGTCTCCCCTTTATACTGGATACGAGGTATTCCATCGTAGTCCTCAGGGGGACGACGTACCTTCATTTTGATTTTTGATTGAAGATGTATATCTATGAGCATCCACTTACCATCAGGAGGGCTATGTGCTCGCTTGTCACCCTTGCATTATTAAAAAAAGCTGTTAACGTCTTGCTTTAACACACAAAGCCGTACGTGGTTGCTATTTTAATTCCATAAATACTTTCGTCGTTTGAACATGATGTTTAACGCCGACAGAATTAATATCACGCATAACATGTCGGCCGATAGCGTGTCAGAAATTACTACTCGGCAGGCATTTCGAATGCGATCTGTTCTTATATTGACAGATGTCAGTGAGGTATGAATAGAAAAGAAAATAATATTTTTTATTCAATGTACTTTATAAATCATTCTTGTTGAAAGTAATTTTTTTACTAACGGCTTAGAAAATGCCTCTGTCCTAGGAAGGAAAAGCTAAAAACAGAGCGGGACTTTTTTACTTAATTAACATTACATGTTAAAGTATGGTAAAAATCTGTTTCATTAAGGTACTATAACGGAAGATCTGTTATTTTTTATAAAAAATTAAGTGAAGAACACACGTGTGAGAGCTGTTTTTCTCTTCTTTGCGATGCAGTACAATACGAGCGCGATACGAGTGTACGAGAGTGACTCACCTAGTGGTAAGTCACCACCGACACGCAACATCATGTGCAACACCAGAGGAATCGAAGATCCAACCTTTGAGAGAGGAGTAGGCTCTTGTCTTGAAGGTAGTCAATTCTTTTTAAGAATAATAAATGAGTGTGGCTCTCCGTATGTTTTTCTTTTATTTATAATATACAATATATTTGTTTGCTGGATGTTTTAAATAACGTCATCATAACAGGGTACTTTAGGAGTTTGATACAACAATTCAGAACATTTACAAGAATTAAGAGAGAAATACGTTAAAAAATCTGATACTGAAATTTCCCAATTTTTTCAAATGTATACGTTTTTAATATTTTCATTAATTTATTATCAGCCTTAAAGATGTATTATCGGAAGACTCTTTTATATCGGAACCTTCACGAAACATAGTTTATGCGTTTTGTTTTTGCAGGATAAGTGAATCAGGCTTAAAGATGCATTATTAGAACACTCTTTTATATCGGATACTTCACGAAACATAGTTTTTGCGTTTTGTTTTTGCAGGAAAAGTGATGGAGAAACGCCACAGACAAGATAAATTACTTTAGTACTGTACAAAATTTGACAAAAAAGAAAAGTTTAAATGGTTTATTAAAGAAAAATTTTACAAAAATGATTAGTATAATATTTAAGAATACATAAATGAAAATAAACCCGGGGGAATTAGGTGATCGCCACCATGCTGGTTATATTAAATTTCATTTAAAGCTTTTACAAAAAAAAAAAAAAAGAATATTGTAAAGTGAAATATTATAAAAATAAGTCCCGCTGAGTTTCTTGATGGTTGTTCCCAGGACAGAGATATTTTTCGAAGCAGTAATAAATAAAACAACGACTTATACTGAATAAAAATCTATTCTATTCTACTTATGATTTTAAGATAAGTCATTGCGTTTTACGATCTTCGGCTACATCAAACTTACCATCAGGGTTAGAAGGACTGGGTTATAATAGTTAAGAAAACACAGGATTGTCTTTTTCAAAATTCCAACCCTTACGGTAAATTTTATCACCTTTCTAATGCTTCGACGGAAGCGCGAGGTTAGGCGCTAGATTTGTATTGATTACGGTGCATTTACCATTATCACGATGCACTTGGAAACACTAGATAATACATAAAAGGAATTATGTTTAACTAACAAAATTATTAATTTATTATGTTGAATAGAATAAAAAGAATTTATCCACATTCCACACATTCTCACTAACATACATGTTTCATCATTTTTTTAGAAAATCTGCAACGTTTTCATCAGATTAATGAAAATATCCTTGCATCGAATTCCGAACATTATGAAAAGCTGATATATAAAAAATTTGCGTCCAACGATTGCTTTCAAGTTTATTTGTCTTTGACTCCAATAGAATATCAATGCTGCGCTAACACCGTAGCTGCAGCATTTTGTTTTGTGGGTATCATTTTTGGTTCAATCCAGTGTGAACTTTGTTTTTATAACTGAGTTGCTTCTTGTACTCGAATAGTTAGTTATTTTACATATAATACACTACTCTAGTTAGTTTGGTCAAAGTACTCAAAATATTATCAAAACGGTTCCATCGCGTAAATCCATTGACCCCAGAAATAGATTTTTTTTTAATTAGAACAATCCGATTCAAATGAGCATACTAGGTCATTTGATTGAAGGAGATTTAAGTTTGTGTTTAAAAATAAAGTAACATGTAGTGATTACAATGGCCTTATGTAGTGATTAATAAATAGATTTTTTGTTTAACTTTTCGGAGGAATCAATTTTGGCTTTATGTACCCATTAAATATTTAATTACGTTTGTATATAAACTATAGTATGCTGTGTATGTATATAAACTATATTATGTTAAAAAGGAGATTTAGTACGAAATCTTGAACCAATATCAGTTGGTATACAATTTTGTGGCGGCGTAGATACTTTGATCGCACTTTAATATATTCTTTGGCGGGTCGACAGCTGTAACAAGTCAAGGCTCGAATAAATTATTATCGAAAAAGCAAAGAACCACTTATACTATATACTACTTCATGTTATAAGCCATGCACGATATTACCTACGATCAATTATCATTTTTATTTCAGTTTGTAAGTTTTTGATCGTTCATATCCGCTATACTTACTTATTTTACTATTACATTATTTAATAATAATATTATTATACAATTTTAAAATGACATCTTAAAATTGAGTAGCTTTTAGTATTTGGCCACTAGTCTATTTACCCAGATATTGAGATATCGTTTATCAAAATCAGACGACTTTAGGGGTGATGGGTGAACATATAAAGGGACACACATAAATATGTACTTTGATAGACATTACCAAAGCCAGCCAAAAATAATACAATCATTTTGGACTCCGCAGCAACCTGGTAAAAATGAGGTTGTTTCAAATATGACGTGCTCTAAAATGTGTTTGGTCTTGCCGTCTCACTAGTCTAAAATTATTTCCCGCTGCTTTAGAAAATGTAATGGCATCGTAAAAATAAGACAGCGACAGTGCCCTGTACCTACATAATTTACATTCGTGCAGTATTGTCATATTTCTCTAGCATACATTCTTCTAGGTACGGGTTAATTGATTATGTTTATATTATAGTGATAAAGCTTATATAAATTTCAAAAGGCATTCTTTTAATCCATATTGAATAAAAATGAAAACAGTGACATTATTAAAAAAAAAAAAACGAGAAAAAGAACTTTATTTATCTCTATGTAAGTTTTATATTATTATTTAGTATATTTATTTTATACTTGTAGTAGGTATATTTATCATATATCTTTGCAACTGTTCTACTGGAAGAAATTTTATTATGAGATAAGTGGCGTCTTTGTACGAACTTTTCATCTTGATGTATCCTCTCCGTTCTTTGCGCGTACATAAATTTTTAAATAAAATAATAAATAATTTTATTCTATTATATTGTTGTGTCGGAAAACCTTCGATGTTTGACTTTCGTCGTCGCTTTTAACATTTACAGGACGAGATAGGGGAGAACAATTACCTCACGCTACCAACATAACGCTAACAATTTATAATAGAAACCGTCCTTCAAAATTTTAGCTAATATTTCTGAATATATATTACGTACGTATAATATGGTATATATTGTATAGTATATAAGTATTGGACGCAACACGCGGATCTTCGCAAGTTAGCTTTCTATATTAATCTTTACATAATAGCTTGCTAAAATGTAAGCTATAAAATAATTACAGTCTTGACTTAAGAGAAGCTATTATGGGGAAATTATTGCACGGTTTTTAGATCTTTGAAGTCGGCTTTTAATTTTTATTAATAGTATTTTTGGGACCTTTTTGAGTGGACTAAAGAATACCACAAACTCAAGATGACAGCTATAATGACGTATAATATTAAAATTAAAATAACTTCATTCGCTATCTATATCGCTTCAAAATTAAATGGGAGCACCTCTTAAGTATAAGCTATATAATAAACAAAGAATTATATATTCTTAATTGGTGAAGATGCGTAAAATAGATATATAATGAAGAAGGAACAAAAATACCAATTGTTAATTCCTCTGTAATTGTTCAATTCTCTTTTTTTGACGTCGTGTAAAATACTTTTTACGCGTTTTTTCCGTGACTGATTATGACGATATGAGATATCT